TGGAGGCAAATTTATTATCCTTTTTTCCCTGAAGGGACTTGTAAGTTTCAGATAAGCCAAGGGAAGGACTGAGGAAAGGGGAAATTTAGTACTTGGGTTCTTTGTCTTTGCAACACTGCTGTATCGGAAACAGCAGGCACTGCTTCTTCAAAAGAAAAGGCATGGGTGAGAAGCCACATGTGGAACAGTTCATGAAAGGGGAGCCCTTATGACAGAATATTTTATGTAGTAAAAGGTCTAACTTTGTAAGGGCTGAGAAAAAACAACATGGAAGAAAATAGAGACAGAACTAACCACAGTTAAAGGAAGGAAAAAGGCATATCTGATATTCTCTCTTTCTGTAACCTAGAATTAAACTATAACTATAGAGGATAATTTATCTAGGGATAAAAAGCCCAAGTGTAAAGGTTGTGTGTGCACATGTGTGTGTGCATGTGTGTGTGTGCATGCATGTGTGTGTGTGCATGTGTATGTGTGCACACATCTGAACTGCATGAGTCAAAGCTGCAGGGCAGCCAGGGACAAATGAGAATGTTCAAGTCTGCTGAAATGAATCAATGTTTTGGCCTCCTCGAGCAAACAAACAAACAATTGTGTTCTGAAAAATATTATTGAAACTCATAGCCCCAAGATACTTTAGGTGTATGTTGGTGAGAGTAATTACAGAACTCATTCCATTGAGATATTAAAAATGCCTTCAGCTTGGTAATCTATTGACATGGCAAGAACTGTTATCAGTGAAAATAAAGGCAGGTTTTCTCCTTTCTTTACTTACTTTGGTCAGAACTCTTCCTTTCTTTGTTAAATCACAGGCTTTTGCCCAGGATTGTTAATATAATAAGAGCTACAAATAGCCTGCGCCATATCTGTGTGAAATAGTCACACAGACTAATGGGGACAAATAAATACTTACTGTCAGAGAATATCTTAGATCGTCCAGACAACACTATCAGCTCACCTAGGAAGTTTTTTAAAACTACATGTGCCCCAGCACTTTGGGAAGCCAAGGTGGGCAGATCACATGAGGTCAGGAATTCAAGACCAGCCTGACCAACATGGAGAAACACCATCTCTACTAAAAACACAAAATTAGCCAGGCCTCGTGGCACATGCCTGTAGTCTCAGCTAGTTGGGAGGCTGAGGTAGGAGAATCACTTGAGCCTAGGAGGCAGAGGTTGCCGTGAGCCAAGATTGCACCATTGCACTCCAGCCTGGGCAAAAAGAACAAAACTCTGTCTCAAAAAAAAAAAATACATATGCCCATTCTCCATGACAGATATCCTGATTCAATTTACCTGCCTAGGACCAATGCATTCATATTTACTCAACCTGATCAATTCATCCACTCAGCAGTCATTTAGTAGACTTGTTGAGAGCTTAATATGAGTCAAGTTTCTCTGCATATAGCAGTGAATAAAACAAAAATGATAATCTTATCCTTTACGGAGTTTACATCTAATAAGGGAAACACACATTAGATAAGATAAATAAGTCTAACATGTTAGGAAGTAATAAACGCTAAGGAGAAAAATTAGGCAGAAGAGGAGAATATGAAGCTTGGAAGGGAGCAGCATTTTAAATGGGGTAGCTGGGAAGATGACATTTTAGAAAAGAACTGAAAGACATTAGAAGCCAAGCAGAAACTTGGGGGCAGTGGGGAGAAGTATTAGAGGTGGTTGGAACAGCTTGTGCAAAGGTCTTGGAGTAGGAATGTGTCCAAGGAACAATAAGGAGACCAATGCAGGCTGAAGTGAATAGAAGGCATGGAAGAATAGTGGGAAATGAAGGCAGAGATCATGAAGGACCTTGTAGGTCAATGTATACACATTACCATTTACTCTTGGAGGGTCTGAACACATGGATATTCTAATCTGACATATACAGATACAGTCCTCTGCTTTTATGAAAAAAGACAGAATGAGAGTTAAAGAGAAAGCAAGAAAACCTCTTGAAAATCAGTTGCTATAACCCAGGCTCTGCTGGCTGGGACTAGGGATGGTAGCCATAGAGGTGGTAGAACATGGTACAATTCCGGACATATTTTTTAAGGCACAGTCAACATGATTTGCTAATGGATTTGATCTGGGGGATGTGAGAGAAAAAATGAAGTCAATGATGTCTTCAAGGTCTTCACTCTGAGCCACAGGCACAAATGAAATTTCCTCTACAAGGATGAGGAAGGCTAGAGAAGAGTCAGGTTAAAACAGAGAGATATTATGAGCCCAGTTTCAGACATGCTGTCTTTAGTTGCTTAATAAAATCTAAGTCAAAATGTTGGAAATGAGTTGGAATAGAGTTCAGAGACAAGTCGGTGCTGGAAATATAAATTTTGGCTTCAACATAAAGACAGCATCTAAAGCTGTAAGTCTGGAGAGCATCTTCAAGGAACTGAGTTAACTAGAAAGAAGAAGAGATCCAAGGACTAATTAGGCTCTGAGTTACTACACCTTGAGGATGAATCAAGGCAGTAGATGTGGTATATCTGGATTTCAGCAAAGTATTCATTGTTCTCCCGTTAAAAGAAGATTGGTAAGGAGCCTTCACGGATGACACAACTAGATTCAAACTTACAACAAAAATTATCAAACGGTTCCGTGGATGGAAATAATTCACAGAAAACTGAAGGTATGCCCCTGATCCTATCCCATCACCATCTTATATTAAACTAGGGATGTATACATACAATCCCCCCTCTCTAACTGAACTCTATTTAAACTCAGGCATCTACCCCTTTCTCCCATAACCAGGTTTCAGGCAGGCTCCAGACTTGGTGCTGTCTGGCCTAAGGATAATCCCATTCCCTCTTGCCTCCATATGGAAATGTGACTTTCAGTCAGTGAAAAATAAGACATTAACCATTAAAAGTCTTGGCTCTTAAGCGTGAGCTGGGGGAAGAGATGGCTTTGCTCTCTCCTCCTCTAAGTTTCTGGTAAAAGAACCAGGAATTGTGTCCTGCAGTCATCCTGCAGAAATTATCTATGATAAATTAATAATAATATCCAAGAGATGCAAATCTAAAGAAGTCAACACACAATCATGGAGCTCAGAGATAGAAAATCATGCAGAAAAAATAAGTGAGGATGTTGTAACAAAATACCAAAACCTGGGTGGATGATAATCAACAGATATTAAATTCTCGCAGTTCTGGAGGCTGAGAAGTTCAAGATCTAAGTGTCAGCAGATTCCGCATCGGGGGAGGGCTCACTTCTGGCCTTATAGTCGGGGCCTCCTTGCTGCTGTGTCCTCTCATGGCAGAGGGTACCAGGGATCTTTTTTGAATAGGAACACTAATCCCATTCATACACCCTTACAACCTACTCACCACTCAAAGGCCCAACTTCCTAATACCGTCATGCTGGGGATTGATATTTCAACATATGAGTTTTGAGAGGATACAAACATTCAGTCCATTGCAGAGGGCTTCAGAGTTTAGGGCAAGTTAAGGTTAGGATCCAGAGCCTGGTCACTGAATTCCCAGGCCAATTCTCCTCTTCTGCACTTCATGGCCACCTTAGCCTTGATTCTTTTCAGCGGTTACTCTGCACCTTTTGGAGAGGCCTATTGCTCTCCTGAGAACCCCTAATCGGTGTTTTTACCATCTGCTAGGAAACACGGCCTTCAACAAACAGCCAGAATGCCTTTGACAGAGTGTTACACAGAGTCTCACTTTACCAGCAGAAAAGACCAAAGCTCTAGTGCACGCAGACAGAACGCAAGTGTCTTATCTGACTTGCGAAGCATTGAAACCCTTCATGAATTTTTTTAGGAAATTAAGAACTAGAGTCTATCCTCAGTCTGTGCATGCTATTTTTGTTTATTTCACCAGAAACTGTTTATCCACGCCCATCAAGAAATTTAAATCACCAAATATAGCCATGGGAAAAGAGTTCCCGCAATGCATGGAGGTAGCCAAAGGACTGCAAAACATGTCCTATTGTACTCAGATAGATTGGAAAGTTGGTTGGAGTTAGGTAGGAGATGATACATGGTTTCAAAAGAGATTGTGCCCAAGTAAGGTAAGTCGGGTGGGAGGCTGGCTGAGGTACACAGTGTATATTTTTTAACTGTGTGCAAACTCTGTGGGTAAGTAGGGAGGGAACACTTTAACTGCCATATGGAAAACTTTTATCTCCCATAATCAGAATAACTAACATATTCATGGTGCTTATTATATGCTGGACATTGGACTTTATAATAATTTACCACATTCAGATGATCTTATCTATTTAATTTGAGGCACCATTGTTAAGTGAGTATATGTGTGTGTGTGTGTGTGTGTGTGTATATATATAAATATATACACATATATAATATAAATATATAATATAGTATGTATAAATAGATCTTATCTATTTAATTTGAGGCACAATTGTTAAGTGAGTATATGTGTGTGTATATATATAAATATATACACATAGTATAATATAGTATGTATAAATATATATACATATATAGCATAAATATGATAAATTCTATTACTTCAATTTTACAAAGACACAGAGAGGTTAGGTAATTTTCCCAAGGTCACGCAGCCACTGAGGTGCAGAATTGGCTCTTAAGCTCATGGTCTTAATCATTATGCTATAAGTTACTATTATTCCTCATCTTAGTGCACAATAAAAGCATTTCCTAAACTGGCTTTGATGTCTCATTTATCCTCACCTCTTGGGCTTTTCACGTTGTATGACACACTAAACTTTTTATCTGGCCCAGTTATAAGTCTTTGTTTAAAATGACTAATAATAATTCTATATATTTGTGAAACATGTGACTTTTTGATATATGTATTCATGTGGAATGGCTAAATCAAGCTAACTGACAAATTCATTACTTGACACACATCATTTTTGTGGTGAGAACATTTAAAATTCACTCTTTTAGCAATGTTGAAATAACATTATTATTAGTTACAGTCACTATTCTGTGCAATAGATCTCAAAAATGTATTCATCCTAACTACAATTTTGTATGCTTTGAGCAGCACCTCCTGATTCCCCAACCCCCAGCCTCTGGTACCCACCATTCCACTCTCTACTTCTATAAATTTGACCTTTTTTTAGATTGCATTTGTAAGTGAGATCATAACATATGTGTTGTTCTGTGCTTGGCTTATTTTACTTAGAATAATATCTTCTAGGTTTATCCATGTTGTTACAAATGATAGAATTTCCTTCTCTTTAAAGGCTATATTATTCCATTGTGTATATTACTACATTTTATTTATTCATTCACCCATTGGTGAACACCGGGGTGATTCCAACATACTGGCTATTGTGAATAATACTGTAATGAATTTGGGAGTGAAGATACCACTTCGACATGCAGAGTTCAATTCCTTTAAGTGTATACCTAGCAGTTGGATTGCTGGATCACATGGTAGTTCCATTTTTCATATTTCGAAGAAACTCCATACTGTTTTCCAGAATGACTATAGTAATTCACATTTCCACCAACAGTACTCAAGGATTCTGCCTTTTTGTTAATAGCCACCCTAATAGGTGTGAGGTGATATCTCATTACAGCTTTAATTTGCACTTTCCTGATGATTGTGATGTTGAAAGTATTTTCAGATACCTGTTGGCCATTTGTATGTGTTCTTTTGAAAATTTTCTATTCAGATTCTTTGCCCATATTTAAGTACACTTATTTACTTTCTTGCTATTGATATGTAGAGGACGTATAGAGGTTATAAATTGCTCTAGCATATTTACCAGCACAACACCACTGTGAGTTCTGTATCCTAACGAGGCATTATGTGCTACATGGGAACATAAGTGAAAAGTGAAAAGCGACTTCATTTGATGAGTAGCAAGGATTCAGTGACTTACCCTACTACCTCTCATTGTTTGTTTCAGACCAGTGAAGATAAAAGTCCTGAGAATCCATTAACAGGTAAAATGTCTCACAATTTATACAAAAGATTTCCTCTATACAACTGGTGTGTCCTTCTGAAATGTTTAGAAAATTCAATTAAAGATTCTTGATGACTAGGCTGTTTAAACAGGTGGCTACTTCACACAGATGTTGACTGAACAAAATAATTGATAGCAAGCAAACTATCAAACCCCCTGATTGTGTAGTCATCATGTAATGTCCTTTTCCTTCATCAGGTCATTCATTCTAAAGTGATGATCTTTATGTTTAAACTAATATTTATATTTTACTTCTAATCTAAGAACTTTACACAGAATGATAGTTTTAAGTCTTAGAGATATAAGACACTCAATCAGAAATAGACACAAATAACATACTCGAGAGCTTCCAAAATAAACAAAATGTATGTCATACAGGACATATGAATCACGTAGAAGAGCCAAAATTTTTAGAACTGCCATTGGTTGAAATTTTACATTTTGTTTAAGAAAGTTTCAAATGGAAACATTTTTCTTCTGTGGGTGCTGTGAAGCAGCTGTTCATGTGAAGAGAAGGCCATTGAAAAGAGTGATGTGAAGCTTTAATTAAAGGCAGTCTGCTGTTTTACTGCTTGACTGTTGAACACAGTTTGTGTTATTAGCATAATACTTGGAAATATAATTGCCTTCACTGGGATGCAAGTCTGCTGCTTCTCTACCTTGTCTTCTATTTATCCTGTTCCATCACTCTTGACTTAGGCTAAAAAAAGAAAAAAGTTCAAATTCACAAACCAATAAGGAAATCAATAATTACTGAACAAGTGATGCTCTGATGCTCAAACAATTGATGAATGAACTAGGGGGAAAAATTAAGTTAGAGGCTCACCTTGTCCTCTAACTATAACATGTTAGATGTATCAAAGCAAGTTTCCCAAAGCAAGCTCCAAGGAATCACATCTTAATATGTGCTCAGGAAAGTAAAAAGAATGTGTTCATTAAACAACTCTAGTTGCGTTCTTTCCTCTGCTTTCCTCACATAAAGTAAATAACGTTCATTAGCAAACTAAATGCTCTGAGAAGTCCTAAAGTTTTTTTCAAAATGAGGCTAACGTGTAGCTTTGTATTTCTTTGTGACCATAGAAAATTTTCTGCTTCTTATCTATTATCATCCTACAGAACTAGTATCAGTGATGACAGAATTAAGAAAAAGGATATATTAAAATGTTAAATATTTTAATAATTATAAGGAGTAAAAAAATACATATAAATTGTTTTTGGATATTTTAATGTAGAATTTTTTAAAACAAAAGACCATCAATTTAAAAACCATTTATATCTGACTGTGTGAAAATTAACATTTCCATATATCCTAAGACTTTATCAACAAAAGCAAATGGTTTACTGGACATGAGTGTTGTAAAATTTTGGCAAAGTCTACATCTACAATTAAAAAAGAACATTAAAAAAAATAAACAAGGGAAGATCCCAGGGAGGATATCCCAGATCCCAGGGAGGAGAATGCTAGCAAACAGTCCAGCTGGCTGATAAAAGTGAGTCGAGCCCCACTACATGAGACAGACAGAGATATTGGATATTTTTATGGAGGATTTCTGAAAGATAAAAGAACACAAATTTAAAAACCATTTACATTTGACTGCATGGAAATTAACATTTTCATACATTCTAAGACTTTACAAACAAAATCAAATTGAGTACAAAAACAAGACTCATTCATTTGCTGTCCTGACAAGACCCATCTCACATGTAACAACACCCATAGACCCAAAGTAAAGGATTGGAGAAAGATTTACCATACAAGTGAAAAACAAACAAACAAAAAGCAGAAATCACTATTATTATGTCAGGTAAAACAGTTCTTAAACCAACAACAGTAAAAATGGCATTACATAATGATAAACCATACAATTCACTAAGAATTCTTAACTAAATATATATGCATTCAACATTGAGACACCCAGATTCATACAACAAGTACTTTTTGACCTACAAAAAGACTTAGCCACACAGTAACAGTGGGAGATTTCAACATCCCACTGGCAGCATTGAATAAGATCATTGAGGTGGAAAACCAGAAAAATCTTGGATTAAAATTTGTCAGCTAATCAATTGGACCTAAAGACACCTACAGAATACTCTACCCACCAGCCACAGAATATTCATTCTTTTCCTCTGCACATGAGACATACTCCAAGATCAATCACATGCTTGGTCATAAGGCAAGTCTCAATACATTCAAAAATATTGACATAATACCAACCATAGTCTTGAACTGCAATAGAATAAAAATAGAAATGAATACAAGAAGATCTCTCAAAACCACACAACTACATGAAAAAGGACTTGCTGTTAAATGACTTTTGGAGAAACAATGAAATTTTAAAAGTATTTTAAATAAATGTAAACTTAGAAAAAACATACCAAAATCTCTGGGATGCAACAGATGCAGTGTTAAGAAGAAAGCTTATAGAACTAAGTGCCTATCTTAAAAAGTTATAAAGATCTCAAGTTAATAATCTCACATCACACTTAGTGGAACTAGAAAAACAAGAACTAACCCCAAAACTAGCAGTAGCAAAGAAATACTAAAATCAAAGCAGAACTGAACAAAATTAAGACCCAAAAATCCATACAAAGAAGCAATGAAACCAAAAGTGGTTTCTTTGAAAGGGTAAAGATCCATAGACCACTAGCTACATTAACAAAGAAAAAGGAGAGAAGATCCATATAAGCACAATCAGAAACACAAAGTTATTACAACTGAACCCACAGAAATACAAAAGATTTTCAGAGACTATTCTGAATACTTCATACACAGAAACTAGAATATTGAGAGGAAATGAATAAATTCCTGGAAACATATAATCTCCCAAGGATGAATAAGAAAGAAATTGAAACCCTGAGGAGACAAATATCACGTTCTGATACTGAATTAGTAACCAAAAAAACTACCAACCAAAAAAGCACTGGACCACACGGATTCACAGCCAAATCCTACCAGATGTATGAAAAAGAGCTAGCATCAATTCTACTGAAACTATTCCAAAAAATCAAAGATGAAGAACTCCTTTCTGACTCATTCTGTGAGGCCAGCATCATCCTGATACCGAAACCTGGCAAATAGACAACATAATAGAGAACTACAGGCCAATATCCCTGATTAACATAGATGCAAAAATCTTCAACATAATACTAGCAAACCAAATCCAATAGCACATCAAGGATCTGGAAATAAGTACAGTAAGTGAGCGTCATTTTATATTTCCCCAATGGTAACAATGCAGTAATAAGCATTATTTCTTAAATGGATTATCTATCTATGTGGGATATACGTGTGTTGGAGGCTTTTCCTTAACAGTCTCTCCTTTTATAAGAGCCAGAAGAATGGAAGTAAAGCTTCCCCTTATAAATAAGAAGAGTCATCAAGAAATAGTGTTGTAATGAAGTCTCAGGCTCTGAAGACTTATTGTGGTACTGCTGTACTGCTTACTGGCTATGTGCAAGTCCTTCTGCATCTATGTATTTACCTTATGCATAAAATAATAATAGAAAAATAACTGAAAAAAACATGTTGAAGGCAAATATGCCAACACACAAATAACAGTTATCTCTGGATGGCATGTCTGGTGATTTTTCTAAACTTCCTCCAATTAAAGGGAAAAAAATCATTAGTATTGTCAGGTAGAGAACTAACCTGTATTAATTATCTATGAATTACCTCTGATTAGCATAGTTTAAATAATAAGCAGATGTTAAATAAGGCACTTTTAGCAACCCTAAATAGCTTTTTAACTTGTTACCTCTATTTACATCTTCAACTAAAGTCTTTTTTCATAATTGGGCAAAAATAAACCTACCCTAGTCCACATATGTATTATCACACAGATAGACTAATGCTGATTAGCTCTTAAATACTACTGTGGTTCTTTGCTAAGGAAAAGATTTGAAACAGAAAAACAGACAATTCAACCCTTCATTAATGTACATTCTTTCAAATGACTTAGAGGAGAATATTTTGAAACTTTTCTAGACTTTGCTTTTCTCAGACATACAAAGGAAAGATGACACTTAGAATAATTTTAAAGAAGAGCCACACACAAAATGATAGCAGTTGGGGAACTCCAAATTCTAAGAATTCTAATAAGAAACGTAACTGCTTGCCTCTGAATAGCTCCAGGCCTTTGCACTCCCTACTTCTCTAACACTTTCCCAGTAATTATATTCACCACCAGCAAAACTGATGACTATAACAACCATATTAGAAAGACAGATATTGATT